AGCAGTAGCTGGGCTCCATTGAAGTGGACCACCAGCCGAGGGGGCATTACCGAAAGGACGTCGGGCTCAATCGACTGGATGGATATTTGGCAAGTTTGTACAGCTGTTGGAAGGGCATCCGATCCGAGGAGATACCGTCCGTAGCTGTTAGCGGTGAAATACAAGGTTTGGCCCGAAGGAAAGGAAATGCGTCTGTGGCCCTCTTAGTGACCGCACCGTCAAATTGGGCTTACAACGGCAAGCTCTGCGAGGGGACCTCACAATAGGGACAGCCTCAGCCAGCTTATAGCTTACAGGGGCGTGGTCCCAGTAGCAAAGAGGGTCGGATCGAATGCCTGCATCTGGATGTCTTTGTAGAGAGGTGCAGGAAATCGAGATTGAACTGCTTTTCTGCATCTCTGCATAAAACACATCCAGAGTCAGGCATTCCATCCGATCCGAACCTCTTTGCTAGTGGGACCTCGCCCCAGGAGGCTTTTTGCCTGAGGACCTCACTGCTATAGAGTTCCAGAAACTACAAAGGGTGAAGTAGAAAGGCAGACCTTGGTTGGGCACTCCTTCGTTCGAAAAAAAAAAAGAGATGGTTGACATTCTTCCTGCTGGTCTATGAAATTAGGCCAATCGGTGTTTTTTTTTTGTTTTTTTTTTTTGTTGAATCGGTGTTAATGAAAAAGGGAGGTGCAGCTATTGGCAGGTCTTGGTCTTTGTGTTAGCCAGAACCCCACTGGCGGCCCCAACCCTATACCCTAACCATTAGGGGTAAGGGGCAACATGAAATCTCCCCTTCACAGTGAGAGGAAACTATGCCTGCAGGGGTCCTCTCTAGGTAGCCCTAGGAGTAGGTAGTGAAAGGCAAAAGAACAGAAGTTGAGAGAAGAATATAGGGAAAAAAAAAAAGAAGAACATAGTGTATAAAGAAATAAAGAAACCAAAAAAAAAGATTGCTCGGGGCTTCCCGTTATGATATTTGGTTTTGGTTTAGGTTTGGCGTTTGGCAGCAGAGTGTGGGTTGCAGGCTAGGGGCGAGGGGAGGAGAGAGGAGGGGCGAGGGTAGGGGAAGGTAGGGGAGGGGAGGCGAGGCGAGGCGGCACCGGACCGGATCCACCGTAGAAAGGGGAGATGCGGACGACTTGAGAAGCATTCTGAAAAAAAAGAAAGAAGTTAAAAAATTTAACACGCAAGAGCCTAGCTCAGTGGGTACACCCATGAACTGTTGAAACATGCATCTCTGTTCGAATCCAGATGATGGAACTCGACGACTAAAACCAACTACTAATGAATTGCTTGGGGCAGGTCAGCTCAATGATAATATACATATTTTTTTTGGGAAAAAGCAAGGAAATCCAATATCATGAAGCACCATGAGGCCGGGGACCAAGTCCCACTTGCAGCGGTTTAGTCCTCAGTTCGGGACCCTGTGTTTTGTGCGACACGTTTCCTGACCGCTGATTCACATTGATCGTAGGGAGCATGGTCGGTTATGTTTTTCTTCGAACGGAATGGATTGAATGTTGCTATGTAGCGGTTTCCCATTGGCTGTTATAGTAGGAATGAGCTCTTTCACTCGCAGGGAACGGTCCTCGTCCGTAGCCTGACCCCAGTCGGACTAGACGTGTGGACCGTCCATCGTCTTGTATTTCCACATCGTCTTGTATTTCCACAGATAAGTTTTTCCCGACAATGCCGCTGCCATACCCTTGTTTACCCGACTGACCGGCCTTTCATCATTACTGTCATTCAGCACGTTCAAATCCTGTTATTTTTTGCGATTTAACCCGTCGTTTGTCAACCAGCCGCACATTGCCACACGAAGTCACACAGTGTCGTGCAGTACTGGCTACGGGAACTAAACCGCTGCAAGTGGGACCTGGTCCCGGGAATTCCTCACAAACAACCCGGAAAAGAATTCGTCACCGCTGGGACCATTACCCAGATATGGTACGTGGATTTTACCCCAACAACACTAGGCAAAGCCTTTTAAAAAAAAGGGGGGGGAACAACTGGCAGACCAAGGCCTGCTTGCTCTTCTTCCCAAAAACCAAAAGAAACACGAAGAACCCGTCAATCAAGCCAGTTCCCAAAAGAAAACACCAAAGAGGATCGATACGAAACTACTCTACCCTCCCCTAATTTCTAGCCGGGGTAAAACCCCCTCAAAAACGCTCAATGATAATATCTCAAGGCCGTCGCCCTTTTAAAAAAAAAAAAAAAAAAAAAAAAAAGAAAGTTAAACAAAATTGAGAAGCACTGCAAGCCCTATTTTTTCATTCCCCGCCGTTGACGTCTGAACTGTATTTCGCCCCACCATCGTCAGCGTAGCCCTCTCCCTTACGAAGTTGAAGGGTGCGAGACGGAGAGAAATGGCTATGGCGGCAGGGAGTAGTAGTTTCGTACGGACATCGGGTGATCGGTCGGCAAGGAATGCACAAGCACCTGGAACGCGTTACGGGAATCATGGGCAGACCTTTGTGTCATACGGCCTTCAAGATTTGGATCATATCTTTTGCTTTTTCTCTGTTTTTTTTTGTTTTTTGTTTTTTTTTGTTTTTTGTTTTTTTTTGGGCAAAGATTATATCTTCTGGCATTCTCCCAAAAAAAAACAAAAACAAGAAAAAAAGCAGTCTGCCATTCGTAGTCCTTCGCTTATGGCTTTCCAGGTTTCTTTTCTTCTTCTTGTTTGTCATCTTTTTTGTCTTTTCTTCTTCTTGTTTGTATTTTCCTCTTTTTTTTGTCATATATACATATCGATATATACATATCTATATATTTTTGTCTTTCCTACTTCTTTCTTCTTCTTTCTTCTTCTTTCTTCTTCCCTTCCCCCACCTCCCCCCCACCCTCCTCCTTTTTTTCCCTCCATCCTGGCCCTCCTTACCCGCCTCTTTTTCTGCCTACCGGACGATGGCCATGTTTTTTTGGGTATTTTTCTGTCTGCTAATATCGAAATCCCCGCGAAACGACAACCGTCTCGCATTGTTGAAGTTTCACTGAAGTATCGTCGTTAGTTCAGTGGTGACACTCGTGAGCGCATATTATCTATGTTCGAAGTTACAAGGCAAAGGACTTTGGACATACTCATTCCAGGATTTTTTTTTTTTGGCTCATTCCAGAACTGTTTTGACGAACTGTTTGTAAGAAACCATTCTTACTAAACTATATAATATAAATAAAGATACATATATAGTGCCGGACAAGTTAAAATAAGGCCGTACGTACGCTAGCCGTACATCTCGCTCTTCGTTTCTAGTGTACGTCTAGTGGACGTCTAGTGTACGGCTAGAAGGACTCGAACCCACAAGGCGCGAAGCGCTGCCACATCCTTAAAAAAAAAAAGTACCAAAAAAAGAAGCCTCAATTAGATCAATTTTCATATTTCACGCAATTCCTCCCGTAATCTCGACCAGATACACTGCCAGGAACTCCTAGCATGAATACTCCCTTGTTGCAGTTTTGTTTCGAAGCGTAGTATCCGTTCCCATCCGGATGCGCAGTTAATCAATCGAGTGAATTTAATAAGCAATTTTGTATTCAGAAATATTAATTCATTGAGTTTTTTTTCACTGCTCATTTTCTTTTACTGAAATTACGAAATGCATTTACTACTGTAATAGTAATTTGGCGTTGTGTTTGCAAGCCTCCTTTTCCATTCCCCCCCTCCCCCCCCTTTAAAATGGAATTTACATTACCTGATCTCATAATAAGTACTAGTTTGTGCATTTGCTTTAAAACTCCCTTCTTCCCCCCCCCCAAAAAAAATAAATAAATAAAAATTCGAAAGAAATAAAAAAAGTAAAAAAAAAAAAAAAAAACAGAAC